CAGTCATTCATGGACATATACACACTCATTGTCACATTTGTTTCTCTGTGATTTATCATAACATTTTGTGTATATTTCCCTGTGCTATACAGTGTAATCTTGTTTATCTATTCTACAATTTTGAAATCCCTCTTATGTCCTGTCAGGTCCCGTACCAGGCTCGTTAGACCAGTCCTAGCAATCTGTTTAAACCATGCAGTTTCCTGTTATTTGAAGAAACTGGCAAACCATCCCTTTCCCCTAGCTGTTTCATGGATGTCCTGAGGATTAATGAGCTAAAGTAGCTCCTGTAAAGTACTTTCATCCTCTGTGTTAATGCAAAATGTTATTAGCATATCTATAATACCATGTGCATATGCGAACGTATATATCACTTAGCATGAAGGAGGAGCATTTTCATTTCAAGTCTGTGATAAGATGTTGGAAAAGATAATAACCGAGACTGTCTTTCCCCTCCGAAGGAAGGTTCAGGTCTCAATAAAGTTTTTTTCTCCATTGAGAAGGCGTACCTTCAACGACTTGGCTAACTGCTTCGTGAAAGTACATCTGCCTTCTCTCCATATGTTGTCTTGCCTAAAGAGAGATTTTTACTGTTTCCCAGATTGCAAAGATACACAACTAGTATTACTTGTGTATCACACTTAGAGATCTCAAGACATTCATCCAAGAAATGTGCAGCTCAAGCTTTGCCGTAACGAGGCATGTTTGTTTTAAAACATGCTTGTTGCCTTTAGGGACTCAGAACAGGCAAGATTCATGGTCCCCTTCAACAGCTGTTTTTACTGTCTTGTCTGTGTTGTCACGGCACGAGAATAGCCTGCTGGGGAAGGAGATTCCTTTCTCAAGGTGCATTTGCCTTTTCAGTCGGGGGAGTGGTCCGTGGGTCCAAGACACTGTTCTTTTCCCTTTTACTTGTTAGAACATCTTTGACCCGGCGGAGATCCTCAGTGGCAGTTGGTATAAAACTTTAGAATTCAGAGGGGTTTGGGAAATTGTCTCATTCACCTTTGTCATTTACAGATGCAAAAACTGAGACCTAGAAATCCCATACTTAGCTAGTGGCCAAGCAGGGAACTGAGTGCTGGCCTTTGACGTCTATTCCTGTCTGAATAGAAGGTCTGAAACTCCTTCAGCTGGCCTGGGCCGCGCCTGGCTTCTTCCTGTGAATTTCAGACTTTGAATCAGCTTGTAGGCACTTCAAAGGACCCATCAAAGCATCTTGGAATAAAAATGGGGTCATCTTTGGGGACAATGCTATCCTCAGCTGGACCACATCTGTAGCACTCAGCCTTATAGATAGAAATCGTGGGCTGAGAACTTGAACGCAGCCGTCGGAGGTTACATGATCACACACCTTGATGGTGACAAGCGCCCAGAAGAGTGGGCTGCTGTTGTAGTAGTTACTGTGTGTCATATCTTGTGCTTCTGGGACCACTCACTCCTCTTGTCAGACCAAAGCACAGGGTCTAAAGTTCACAGTCAACAAATAGATTAGGAGCCACTGAGGTCAAATTGGAGGTAATTTTATCTTGAGGGGTACAAACCTCAAGAAAAGAGGACCCCTCCATCACTTGGTCTCCATGAGAGGAAGAGAGAGGCCTTGTTCATTGATTTCTATTGGCTTATTACTTAACCTATTGACGGAATCTCTTCCCACCAGGGTAAGTTTGATGAGAGTTAATGAGAAAGAGAGACAGGAAAAGGGAGAGTTTTTCATTCCTTTTAAATGAGTAGAACAGAGTAAGAAGGACGATTTGTTACGTGAAGAGAAAAATGTATATACTCGATTTTAGGTTTTACATTTCCAATAATGCATGGGCTTTGTCCTCTCCGGGTTTAAGACAATAATTGACTCTGTGACTTCTCTTAAAAAACAAAAAACAAAACAAAACCCCTTCCTCCCATCATGGACAAAATGAGTACATTCTGGAATGCACACTAGTCATTTTTATTTTTGGACATGTCCTAAGGAGAAGCAATTTTCTTCTCACAGATCAGTGATAAATTAAATGTGAATGATACCCCAAGGGCAGAATTAACTGTATGTTACTCGGGGGTTATGCTGAGGGGTGGAAAATACATTTCTATGTGGAATTCATAATTTGTAAATCTCTTATAATATGGATTACATTTAATAATTACAGACATTTTTACAGCAGAGGACATGTATGTTGGAGGGTTTTTCAACATGACTGTAATTTTGCAACTTTAAAAAAAGTATTCTTCTCTTATAATGAGAGAATTAATATTTGGTTCTTTCAAATTGATATCTTCCAGATGCTTGCCAGGAACTCTGTTGGATAATTGTCCAAATTACAGTATTAAAGGAAAGCTAAAAGAAAGAAATACAATATTACTGTAATTATGAAGCAAGCAAAAGGAAATCCATTTAATCATCTATCTCAAGTTATCAATAATTGCAACGACTGTTAAAGTGTTGTTAGCAATACTTGTTAAAGTATTTGGATTATGTTATGGATTGCCCCTGGGTAGCCAGAAGGATTGGTTGAAAATGGTGCCCCAAGAGAGTTTTTGATGGACATTTTTGAGAGTAAGAAAATGGGATCTCACTGAAAACTTACAACTGTATTAGTTGCCAAGAGACAGGAAGAGTGCTCATGAGTAGGATTCACGTGTTGCAAGAACTTAAGGCTTTTAAGAGTGCAGAGCAGAGTTTTTCCACTGGACACATATACCCACTGTGATAGATGCTACCAGCATTATCTTTAGAGATGAAATGGAGTGTAGTGTGGGGAGAGAAAGGGGGAGAGAGGGTAAGGGCAGAGAGGGAGAGAGACAGGAAGAACTGAGAATGAGAATGCCATATTCACAATCTCTTCAAAAGGGCTCAGAATAAATGAAAAGTTTAAAACGTGTCAAATGGGAACTATTGACCTACATGTGGTAGATCAAAGATGCAATGGGGAAGTCATAAATCAGTGTTGTCAGGTAATCAATGGACAGGCACCTGTCTTTGAATGGGCCAAAACAAAGGACAGGCACCAAAGAAGGGTCCTGATGTTGAGGAGTTGGACACGAAAGGCCATTCTGGAGGAGCTGAGGTGTGCGTGGGTGGTGAAGTCATTGACCACAGGGACAACTCCTGAATTCCAGGGTTTTGAGCACAATGTAAGAATAAGTTCTGGAGTCAGAAGGCCAGGGTTGGGGTCTAAGCTCTGTGTTTTCTTGTAGGGTAGCCATGGGCAAGCTTTTTAACTTCCCTCAACCTCAGTGTTCACATCTTTAAAACTGGAAATGTAGAAAGCATTACTCTAGGGGTTATCAAGATGAAACGACTTGACACATGGAAAGTGTTGGCCAAGTCCTTCCGTCTAGTAAACAATATTAGATGGTGACCATTAGAGCATTTACTCTCTCTTTTTTTTTGAGTTTGTGTGATTATTTTCTCTGGGGCTGATCGGAAGCCACCCATTCCACAATTTATAACAAAACTAAAATTATGTGAAAAAAATCCCCAGTAGAGGACCAAAAAGAAAGAAATATGACAGCTACTGACAGGTTTCTTAGGGTGATTGATTATGATTGCTTTTCCTTTGCTCTCGTCTCCAAATCATCAGCAACATAACTTTGTTCATTTTTAATGGAAAATGATACTAAAATCATCTTTTTCTAACGGGCAAACCTGTGAGCTTACTCCTAGAGACTCAACACTTCTCTCAGTCTCAAAGGAAGTCTGTTTAACTTAGGGAGCGTGGTATTGGCAGACCGGGGCAGTTTGAGGACGCTCATTAGAACCTGCTTATAGCACGTTCCGTTGCTTTTATTTAGCTGAAAGGTGTCATTTGTTCTTCTTTTGCCATGAGAAGCCTTCGATTCTCTGATGGGTGTATTTAAGTGACAGCCGAGAACTAGGCAGTACACAAATAAAACAGGCCATCTCCTTAGGGGTTCAGCGTCCTTCTGAATTAGGGGAACAGGGAGTGCAGCAGTTAGGGGATCACAATAAGAAAGGAATGATCTTGGAGCGCAGAGGGCTTCTCATTTTATCGGTGGCCATCACCAGGGTAACCTGCTGAGGTCAAGTGAAGTCTTTTATGGAAGTTTT